CAACCTCTAAGTTATTCCCTTTATTTGTGGCTTCCATTGTTTCTTCCATCATCTGTACTCTCATTCATAGCTGTTTGAATGTGTTCATATCAACAAAAATCTTGTGCCTTCTAGGCTCTGGGGTATTAATGAGGTCTGCTGTATTTAGCTGCATTTTTCTGGAGAACGCTTAATTTGTTTTCTCACAGTGTTTAAAGCTGCCTACTACTTTCTAGACATTATGTGAAGTTTTTCTTGATAAGTGTTAGGCTGTTTCTATGGTGTCTGCATAAGTTGTTGTTGTTTCTTGTTTTTATGATGTTACTGATTAGTTGCCAAGTTAAAATGTTCTCTCTATGGGGTGAGCCACTCATTCTACTGAAAGTCCTTTCTGGAATAATTTGCTTTTCCTAAAGTCCTTGAGGTTGTCTCTGTTCTGCACTTCAGTGCTGCAAGAATATCACTTTGAAGTAGTTTCCTGTGGCAAACTCTACTGTCCTACTTTGTGTATTAAGTGGCTGAATGGTGTGAGACCAGGTGCTTTACTCTGGAATGCCACAAGATCAGAGATCAGGGCCACCAGCTCTCAAGTCAGACCTCACTCTCTCAGGGAACCGAAAAAGTATTTCCTCTGCTTGTAACTCTGTTTCCCAAAGTCTCTTTTCCTGTTTGGCACCTGGTTTGGCCCCTGCAGCTGAGGAAGCAAGAATCTCCAAGTGGAGTGACCTATCTCCCCAGGGAAGCTTCAGTCCCCTCTCCCCACAAGTAGTAAAGAGTACTCAATCTTGGCACAGAGCCTTACCTCTCTAACCTTTTCTTCTGCAGCTTAATGCCTGCTGCAAGACATCTTAGAGAGCATGTCTCCATCTCATTTTAAAGATGAGGAAACAGAGGATATATACATCAAAAGGGCTTCCTCAAGATCATAAAGGATATGCTGGGAGAAGTTAGGTCTCCTGACTCTCAGTTCTGCCTCCTATTGACTCTGGTAAGTCCACAGATCAGAAGAAAGAAGGACCAGCATGTCTCAGTAATAATCCCAATACTTCCCCAGTGAGCATTAACTATGTCAGTGTTATGAAGGATAGATGTTAGTCTCATTTAGAAACTACCAGATTCTTCATTTTGATACCAAATGCCCTGTGAAATCAACTGTGATTTAAAAAAAATGTTGGAGTGTTTGTATGTGGGGTTTTTCCTCTTGAAAAAACAAAGCTAAGGGGAAAACAGCTTCCAACACTGCTTGGCTCTTGGGCAACTTTTACAAACAGTGGCGTGATGAGAAACATATGGTAGACAAGTACCTGATGCACAATTCTGGGGGATTTGCTGCCCCCTAGAGAACAAGAAGGCTAGCAAACACTCCTGGGGGCCTCAGGATATAAAAACTTTCCAGTATGTTGTCAGGAGAGGCCAGTGTTTGGACACGGGTATCATGCTTGGAAAGAAGGGCTTCTGCCAAAGAGATGAATGCCCCTAGCAGGACAGATTGATACAGTGACTGCAACAATGGGCTTGAGCACGAGGGAGTCAGTGGAGATGATACAAGATAGAACAAGGTTTCAATCTGTTGTTCAAAGGTTCATAGGGTCACTATGAGTCATAAGTTGACTCAGAGGTATTAACAACAGCAATCTCCAAGCTCACATTTGTGGGAAAGCCATGGGAGGGTGGTGAGTTGCTTTGGGTAGATTACAAAGTAGAATTCTCTGCTTGGGACTGAGCCATTGGCTTGGGAGCATTTGCTGGGAGGTTAGAGTGATATCAGCTCTAGTCTGACTAGTATAAAGGCATCTAAATTGCATTCCTAGGGATCTCTGGGGTGCTTGATTGGTAATCTTCTGGGGACATGTATTTTAATGATATTATAGCAGGGATGCACTTGGTAAAACCTGCTATAGACAATTTCAATCCATAAAAAGATGAAAATCAGAGGAAGCAGATATTAGAAGAGGAAATGCTCAGGACAAGAATCTTCAGAGAGGAAGGGGAGATCTTTCATATCGAGCAGTTGTTGTTGTTGTTGTTGATTGCCTTCCACCAGTGGTTAGCCCTATTTGGATCACAGACTCTTTCCTGAATCTGAGGAGAGCTGTCATCCTCATCTGGAAGAACATAGATGTGTCCACTGCTGCAAAGAATCCCAGGAGTCTCCTGGGCTCTCCTGCTCCCACTGTAGATGTAAATGGGGGAATCCTTGAATTAGAGAAAGCCCTGTGAAGGACCCGGTTGGATTGGGGATGAGGAAGTGGGGGATGCCTGACAAGAGAGGTATGTAGAATCACAGAGCTCAAAAGGCTGTTGGCGGTCATCTCTTCTTGGCGTGGGGGGGCGGGGTATGAAGTCAGAAATAAGGAATGGACTGTATCAAGGTGTCATAGCACATTACTGGTAGAGCTAGAATGGGCCCCATACCTTAGCCCTGAGCCCATACATCCACAAAGCCAGCAAAGCACCAAATGGAACAGGGCTCCTCACTGCTTCAACATCACAGACCTCACTTTGGAATGGGGATAACAATTCTAAAAGGGAAAATGCTAAGTTCACCACGGACTCTCCCTTCATGTCTCCTAAATTATAGTTGTCAAACCTGTGTGACTTCACTCCATAGGCAGCGTTTGTTCAAAGACAAGGGTGAGATGGCAAAGGAGAGGCAGGGAAGCTGGGTGAGAAAAAATGGGGAAGGCAGAGTGGAGACAGGGAAGGTGCTGGCACACCACAGTAGCTAATGTGTTAGGACAATTTGTGTATGAATTTCTGGATAGGAAACTGTTTCACTATGTAAATTCTCATCTAAACACAATCAAATGTAAAAAAAAAAAAAAATAGTCTACATTTAGCTCTTTCCAGTGGCTTACGGCAGCTATAGTGGACAAAAAAAATTGTGTCCTCAAGAATTACATGCTGTAAATCTTTACCTTATACCTATGGTTATAATAATTTTGAGAATGAGTTTTGTTAGGGTAATATAGCAATGCCAGCATAGGGTGTGCTTATTTAAATCAATCTCTTTTGAAGTACAAAGTGGTCAGATTTAGGTACAGAGAAGACAACAGGGATGGGAGAAGCTAGACATTGAGGATCACAAAAGAGCCAAAGCGTAAAGACCTTCCCGCCATGTACTGAAAGAGACAGCCTTCCCCTGGAGCTGACCTCTGAGCTCCGCAACTAGGAGAAGATACATTTTTTGTTATTGTTTTTTGTTTGGTTTTTTTCCCCTCTTCGAGCAAATTCTTTCCATTTCCCTCACTCTCCCCTCCCCCCATCAAACTGTACACCCCAATGATTAATACGCCCTCCTCCTGCATATCCACATCCCTCTGCTTCCAGCCTCTCCCACCCCTCCTGGATCCTTATACTCATTCTACAATAACAGTTTTATACAATATTTATCCTTGTGGAACCAAGTTAGTTCACTCAGCACAAGGCTCTCCAGTCCCTCCCATGTTAGGTAATAATTCACAAAATTATTGCTCCTGTATGCTGAATAGTATTCCATTGTGTGAATGTACCATAATTTCTCAATCTATTTGGTTTTGGTTGGACATTTGGGCTGTTTCCATGTTCTTTCGATGGTGAATAATGCTGCTATGAACACTGGTATACAAATTTCAGTTTGTGCCTCAGTTCTCATATTCTCAGGTTATATTCCAAGTAGTGGAATAGCTGGGCCATATGGAATGTCTATGTTCAGCTTTTTGAGGAAGCACCAAACTGCCTTCCAGAATGGTTGTACCATTTTACAATCCCACCAACAACATAGTTACCCACCTATTTCTGTCATCAGCTAGGTAAGACAGCCATATTCCACCCTCCATGGGAAAAATGCTTTATTCTAACATGGATGAAGGACAGAAAAGCTTCTTTCAGATGAATGTCCTCAAGCCTAATTAGAACACAACTGGAAGTTCTCCTTTTTTTAATTGTAGTTAACTAGATGTGTAGCTGAGGGCAGGTTATGTAACCTCTCTGTGCCTAAGTTATTCCAACTGTAAAATAAAATTAGTAACAGCACCTAGCACCAAAGGCCACTATAGTTTAAGTTTTTCACCTTAATTAAACACTATAAAGAGTATTGATCAAAGTAAGGGCAAAGTACATGCTGATAATTGAGTAAGGCTTTTAAATAAATTGTTAATGATGACTTAGCAGCTAAATACTACTTAGTTTAATGTCTAGATACTTCTCGAATTCTCTTTCCATTTTGCTACCATTGCCTTTGTTCAATCACCCCCCCCCAGAGTAATCATAAAATGATCATAAAATGCCTTTGTTTAAAAAACTTTCAGAGGCTGCCCAGTAAGATAAAGTCCTGCCTTATACTCTACATAATATTATTTTTTATTTTGGTTTTAATTATTGTGATTATCTTAATCTCTGGGCATCCAGTATATCATAATGAACATGTTCAGCCTCTTGTAGACTTAGATCTGGTGGATCTTCTTTGCACAGCTATTTTCAGTCACTGGCACCTTATTCACCCACTGTGGTCTCTCCCTTTCCAGTGGCCTTTTCAGAAAGGGAGCTATCAGCTAGCTTTACAACTGTTAACTTATAGGGTCAGACTAGACTTGGTCAGATTTACCCTGAGATATGTCTCTCCTGGCTAAATTTTCATTTCATCCACTTTTCAGTCCTTGTATTGGAAGAAGAGGAAGACTTTGTCTTCACTTAGAGATCCTTTAGGTAAAGAAAGCTGGGAAGAGGACTTAACTGGGGGCTGGTGGGTGAGGAGCAGGTGACAATTTTTGAGTGCTCCCAAAATACACACTGTTTAGGAGCCACAAATGTCCTTCACTTCAGAAGTGATATATACTCTCAGAATTGACTCTGGGAAGCAGCTCTGACTGGCAGCCCTTTGTGGAGGTGTGGGGGTGATTCTTTGAAGAGAGGGTCCAATATGTTGGATTAATGAGTTTCCTTTGAAATTCTGTCTTCTCAAAGTTAACACTTTTGTTTACTCTAACATAGATTCCCAACCCCTTCCCTTTCTTAAGGCCATAAAACAAGCAGCTCATTACTTTTCTGGGGTCAAGGTCTCTTCCAAGAACTCCTCAATCTTATTGACATCTGTCTTCACATCACCGTTGAAGGTCAGGAAAGGTGGATGGGTTCCAGGGGCTAGGTTGTGCAGGTCAGCTGGCTTCCTGTAGAGAGAATGAGCAATATTTCAGGATTGGCTTCCACAGGGATGCTGTGCATTTAGGGAAACCTATGATTTAGAGCTGAAAATGATACTTCTTGTATTGTTCAACATGCATGCCAGGAAAACAGTCTGACAGTTTGGTTATGTAAGGAAACAAAGTGGGGAAAAGCTCTAAAGAGACAACATGATACAAGAAATCTGTTGGCTTCTCTATCCATTCGTTTGTTGATGGGCACTTCGGTTGTTTCCAACGCCTTACTACTGTGAACTAAGCCACGATAAACATGGGTGTGCATATATCTG